TTTTTTTTATTAAGATAACATTTTTTAAACATTTCAAGAAGAAACAAAAGTTAATAGAAGACATCATTTGCGTTTTTTTTTTCTGGAGTGTAAATTACAAAAATACCCAAACGCCTACAATTCTTTAATGACAAGGGCCTACAATTCTCCGGAGGGCATTGATCGAGTTCGCTTGTATCCCCAACTTGCCCAACTTGAAGCTGTAATCGAAGTCGAAAAGCAAGCCGCGATGGATTTGATTCGTGACAAGAAAAAGGGAAGAGCTTGGTTAGCATTAAAATTTTCTCTTTCTGATTCACTCTTCCTCCTCAATTCTCTCTACTGCTTCCTTGTTCCTCAGTAATATTTTGTATGCATGTATGTATGAATTTGTCTTTTTGTTTGTCTAATTGTTGAATTTGTTGCCAAATTCAAGAGCCCATTTATTGCTGGCAGACAAAGAATAGGTGAAAGGCAATTTATGCCTTTAGGCTCACATTAAAAAATGCAGGGAATTAGAAATGGGGAAGATTGCTCCATTTTTTAGAGCACAAGACGCAAACAAGCAGAAAGTAAAGGAAAAGACATGGACAACCTCATTCGAAGAGAATAATAAGAGCTCCGGCTCTCCACAGCAATCACTCCATCAACTCGAAGGACCTCCAGATTTTTCTTTTTTGGAGGTTGAATTGACTGAATTTTAAAATTTGATGTATAGGTTCTTCACATCTTCATTCCATAATAGAGAAATCGTTATTTTTTATATCGAAGGAATGATACATGCATACACAAGTTGAAGTCAATTCCCTCTTTATAAAGCACCTTAAGTGGTTAAAGAGCCTTAGTAGGAAAAAAAAAAAAAAAAAAAGCACTCTTTAACCACTTGCTCTAGATAACGGATAAATTGAACCATTCACGTGAGTTTATAGTTATGGGTTAAACTGATTATAAAAAAATGCTCAATGATTGAACTGATTATGCAAAAATGCTCGAGGATAGTTTGAACTGATTCTGTAAAAATATCGATGACTGGTTGAACTGATTATGCAAAAATGATCGACGACGGGTTAAACTGATTTTGCAAAATATCAAAGACAGTTTGAACTGATTCTGCAAAAATTGTCTATGACGGGTTGAACTGATTTTGCAAAAATGGTCGAGGACGGTTTGAACTGATTATGCAAAAAATGGTTAATGACTGATTGAATTGATTCTGAAAAAATGATCGAATATGAGTTGAATTGATTCTGCAAAAAATGGTCAATGACTGATTGAATTGATTCTGAAAAAATGATCGAATAGGAGTTGAACTGATTCTGCAAAAATGGTCGATGACGGGTTGAATTGATTCTGCAAAAATGGTCTAGTACGAGTTGAATTGATTCTACTAATAAATGATACAAATTGAGTCTCCATATAGTTTCAAAATTGATTATGAAAAAATAATCGAGGATGAGTTGATCTTAAGGCACATTTTAATTTTGTTAAAGTTGTGAGGGTTGTGTTCTATTAACAACCTTAAAGCCTTAGGGGTATGGTTAGTATTTTAAAACATTGTTTCTATATTTTTGAGCTGGGCTTTAGTTGTTTTTATGTTTTTGTCTCTCATTGACATGGTTAAAAATTAGTGGAGTTCCTTGAAATATAGTGAAAGTTTTTGTCTCTATTTATGGGTTGACATACATTTGAGCAAAAATGACAAACTTTGTATACATATAAGAAAACTAGGTGCGTGAAATTTTGGGAACCCTAGAAGTTACGTTTTGGAGAATTCCTTACTTCCATTGCATGATCAGTGGAGATCTCTTACTTGTGGCTGCTCAGCTTTCTTCTGATCTCCCAAGACAAAAACTTGTTTCTCTACGCGATCTTTCCTTTGTTTAGCCAACCGAATCTGGTGAAGGAGGTAGAAGTGTGAAAAGAGAAAGAGAGAGAAAGGAGCAAAGCGTGAAAAGCCTCTTTAAGGGTATATTCGTAACTTAAACTCTAGAGTAAAAAAAAAACCAATGATGTCATCTTCCATATGTTTTAATTTTGTCTCTCCTTGAAATGTTTTAAAAGTATTATCTTAATATAAAATTAAGTATTAAGAGTGTGACATCCCATATCGCCCAGGGAAGTGATCCTTAAATGTATATTCTCATCCCTACCTAGCACGAGGCCTTTTGGGAGCTCACTGGCTTCGGGTTCCGTAGGAACTCCGAAGTTAAGCGAGAAGAGGGCTAGAGCACTCCCAGGATGGGTGACCCTCTGGGAAGTTGCTCGTGAGTTCCCAAAAACAAAACCGTGAGGGCGTAGTTGGGGCCCAAAACGGACAATATCGTGCTACGGTGGTGGAGCGGGCCCGGGAAGTGGTGCCACCCGGGCCGGGATGTGACATTGGTATCAGAGTCTATCCCTGGCCGGAAATGTGCCGACGAGGACGTCGGGCCCCTAAGGGGGTGGATTGTGACATCTCATATCGCCCAGGGAAGTGATCCTTAAATGTATATTCCCATCCCTACCTAGCACGAGGCTTTTTGGGAGCTCACTGGCTTCGGGTTCCGTAGGAACTCCGAAGTTAAGCGAGAAGAGGGCTAGAGCACTCCCAGGATGGGTGACCCTCTGGGAAGTTGCTCGTGAGTTCCCAAAAACAAAACCGTGAGGGCGTAGTTGGGGCCCAAAGCGGACAATATCGTGCGGGCGTAGTTGGGGCCCAAAGCGGACAATATCGTGCGGGCGTAGTTGGGGCCCAAAGCGGACAATATCGTGCTACGGTGGTGGAGCGGGCCCGGGAAGTGGTGCCACCCGGGCCGGGATGTGACAAAGAGTATACTCTATGTGTAATTTTTCCTTTTATTTTATTTTATTTTAATTCTACACCCCAAATCACTTTTAAGTTTTAATATATTATTTATCTTCTTCAACTATCAAAACCCTTTCCACCCCTCATTATTGAACAAAACCCTAACTAATGAAATTACAAACATGTAGATTGAAAAAATTATTTTAAACGAATCGAACATGAAATCAATGTTTTGGAAGCTTAATATGAGGTAAGACTTCATATTTTTCATTATTTTAGTGATTTCAATGACAATGACAATTATTTAAGCTTGTTTTTGCTACGTGTCGACAACCCCACTGAATTGAGCATTCTCTTTCTCTGCCTGGATCATGCCTCTTCATTATCCAACGCACACCCACCTTTAAAAACTTCCCCTGCACTATCGTATATGTCCATCCCTTCTTACCCAACCTTTCCCTTTTTATATGTAATTAAACTATAAAGTTTTATAATACCAGTTTGCTAGACATTGAATGATTTTGCCACTACTGCTACTAATCAACAATTTTGAATAATTTTGATTTTGAGGTGTATAATTATCTCTTTCTCTTCCTGGATCTTGCCACTTCTGCTGCTAATCAACGATTTTAAATAATTTTGATCTTAAAATGTATAGAAAATGTGTGGTGTATGTAAAAAATATAGGATGTATGTTGAGAATGTGGAGTGTAAGGGATTATGGGGAAGTATGTGAGGTGTATTAAGACAATTTTTAATTGAAAAAGTAAATGCGGAGTGTATTCACAATATGAAGTCTGTTAATATAATAATCCAAAAATAGAACGAAAATCTATTAATTTATTAAATTTAAATACTATATATTAATTACGTGATATGGTGTATTTTTGGCTTGTCCGTATTTTTGCATGACCAATAAATTTGAGAGTTGAAAGATGATTGCTCTCATCAGGGGGCATACTGCTTATTATCAAGGTATAATTTCTTTTTCACTTTTGAGAATTGAAAGATGATGACCACATCGGGAGGGCATACTACTTGTTATTATCATCAAGGTTAGGTATAATTTCCTTTTCACTTGTGAATATTTCTCTTAGAAGGAAAGTGAGAGACAAAGACAGAAACAAATGCGTAGAAGAAGGGAGGAAAGTGAGAGAGAAAGACAGAGAAACAAATGCAAAGAACAAGCTAGAAAGAACAAAAGAGAAGAGAGAAGACGAAGAAGACTAAGTCGAAAGAGAAGAAGACGACTAGTTGAACATGAAGATCGACGCGCTTCGCGTGAAGAGTGGTGACACACTTGTTGAAACGTATCTAATGGACTAATACAGCTGAGATCCCACAAGAAGACTCCTGCTGTCGATGTGTAAACCCAAAATATAAGGCTTTGTTTGGCAGGCTTGAAAGTTGCATTGCACAAAATCATTGGCAAAATGTAAGCTAGAGGAATGTATCCAAATGCTCTAAACAATGCCATAATATCTCCAAAGAAAGGTAGCATTGCAACAAATGTTGTAGCTCCGATAACGGACGGTGACCGGAGAATCAGTCTCGGTACAACGTTACGGACGAAAAATTGATGCATTTTTTGGGTCTGCAAATTTCTTCTCCAATACTTCATTTGTTGGTTGGTTGGTTGCAATTAAACATGTAGATAGATAGACGTCTTATCAAATAATGCACACGCGGCTTCTAAAGGCGCACAAGTATGTGATCAGTACACCCATCACCCAAAAAGTTTACTACACACCCCAACATTCATTGATAAATTTAAATTAAACAAATTAAACAAATAGCTAGTGATCACGAAGAAAATTGAGGTTTCACTATAAAATCAATTAGGAGGAGTAACCTAACTTACTTTTATGACCATGCAAGGTCTTTTGCCTCATCATTGTGGGATTAGTTCTCAACAGATAATCTAAAAATCGAGGCAAAAAATGCCAATTTTCTTAAAATTGAAGAAGTGGGATTAGTACTAAATATTTAATCTAAAAATAGAGGCAAAAAAATGGCGGTTTTCTTAAAATTGAAGAAGTTGAGGTTCCACCATAATACTAATTGGCAATATCGTGATACGTCCCAACCCAGATATCCAAATGACACATAGATGGCACGTGCTGGTCGACACTCGAAAATGACGAAAGCCATAATCATGTGAAAATGCATGAACATAATGAAACATTTAATAAAAAAGTCATGCAAGAAACGACAATTAAAAAGATCATACAATCGGTAAAGAAATAATAATAATAGAAAGAAGGTCATAAAATAAAAAGGATGTCCAACAATCACAATTCTGAAAGAAAAGATGCAAGAATATGTTTAGAGCATACTACTAGTCGAGAGTACTAAAGGAAATGAAAGACAAATTACAATTGCACATAAGAAGTCATACGTTGGTAAGAGGACACAAAATCACTAGTAGGGAAATGCTTCGAAGCTCGGGGCGTAGTCCTCATCACTATGTCCTGAAGGGGGAGCAAAAACAAAAGGTGAGTGGACTATACTTATAATAATAGTACTAATAAGAAAATCGATTTCTTTCTAAACATACTAACCCCCTGTTTGGAAAACACATATAATACTACATATAGGTTTTGCTAAAAACTCTAACATGCCAAAAAAATTATCTCTAAAAGTGATATCGAAAGCGCCTGAAGGCAAATCCAAAGAATCTCGTAAATCAAAATAATAATGTACTCAACTAGGGGTATCATAGTCACTTGAAGGCATAACCATCACCCGAAGGTGAAGCTGTACGACATTGGGTTACGCCAGTGAACAAATATGGTAGGTCCCATCACCCAAAGTTGAAGTTGTACGACTCTAGGTTACGCTAGAGAAGAAATATATACATAACACATCGACACTAGCCGTGGCTAGTGAATTTGTCCGACATTGGTTTTGCTAATGAAGCTGGGAGTATGTCATAAATATCTCACTACTCATCCAATGTGTCCTATGGCCATAGATGTATACATACTCAGGTTGTGTGTATGTGATGTACGATTACCCACATAAAACATATCTCAAAAACTCATACCAAGCTTAGGATTCAAAATCTCATCATCCGAAATCATAAGCAATTCCATAAACGTGATTTCCACGAATATAAATTTCATAAACTTTAAACTAATAAATTATAAATATTTCATAAAAGCAATTTAGATAACTCATAAATTCTCCATAAATTATAAATCTAGAAATTCTTAGAAACATATTATAAAACGCAATTAACTCAGGAAATGTAGAATGAATGCAAGCCTAATATTTTTATAAAAATATGCAATTTAAGAAGGGGTCCACCCACAAATATTCCTCTAGCGGGGAGCCGATCGAATTAGAGAGGATAAGATCACTTCCAACCAACGTACCTAAACACAAATAGGGACCATTTATTAAAACACTACTAAAATAATTGAATTTGGAAAAACGGAGACGAATTCAAATTCGACACATAGAAAAATTTAAGGAGGGACCTCGGGTTCCCCATGCGCCGCCACCCCGTGGTAGCTTGGGTCACCACGTGTCGAGATGGGTAGCATGAAAATTCGTCGCACCAACCATGACAACCCCATGCGTAGCTTCATGCGCCGTTAGTACACTTGTACTCGCCAACCCACGATTTCTGGAATTTTTCCAGATTTTTCCTCCAACTTTAAGAGCTCATTCCAAGCTCGATACATGTCCAAATCGAGTAATTCAAAAACTAAAATGTGGTTAGGAATGTGGAGAAGAGATTCATACCCTGAGGAAGCCCAATGAAGATCAAAGTTAGCCGACAAATTGGCTAGAAGGTGGGCAAACGACCACGGTTTTGAATTTCCAGAAATGAATAGTGAGTTCCTCGAGGGTTTTCCATGTTCCTACATCACCAAAACCACCCAAAAACTTACTAATCGTGAACCTAGACATGATCTACAACGATATGGACCAAGTTCGAGGCTTACCTTTGCCGGAGAAAGGTGTTGCACAGTAAAGGCTACTGTGCAAAGGAAAAAGAGGAATTGGTGGTGGTTTTGTCCCCCTTCCAGAGCTCGCCAGAGTGTTAAGGTACATGTGATGGTGGTGATATGAATGTGGGTGGGTATGTGGGTGCTGTTTAGCCAAGAGAAGAAAACAAATAGTGAGAGATGAGTGGGAGGGAGAGTGATGATGAAGAGGAAAGAAGAAGAAAAATAAGAAAATAAAGAGAGGAAGAGAGATGACGGGACACGGGACAGGGGAAGCAGATCCTATCCTGAGCTGTTGCCAATGAAGCCTAGGGATCAATTGATCTCAGCCTTTCAAATTGATCTTCCAGCCAAGAACGGCCAAGAAGCTTTCAAATTATTTCGCTCAAACCAAGGCAATCTTGTGCCTTTTACATCTCATGCGCTCCCCTATTCCCTGCTTGCTCACTTCTCCTCTGAAACTAATCTCTTGTTTCCTACGAAATTCTCGTATCTCATTCCTCTAAAAATTTCGAAGGAAAAAATAAAATCCAATTCATGCATCTCATTCCTCCAAAAATTTCGGAAGGAAAAGAAATCATTGTCTCGCTTTGGTCGATCAACGGGTTGCCACTGGTCTTCAATAATAAAGGTTAGGTTTCCATTGTTGAATTTCCTTTTCATGATATTTTTGCAATTAGATTGGATTTGCTGCATGTTTATGTTTGAAAAAGAGGAGATGTTGTGTTGCTTCTACAGAAAATTTGGTTTTTTTCGTTGAGCTCAAGTTGTCTGAATCTTGGTATATTTTTGCGGTAGGATTAGATAGTGAATGACATAATGGATAAACCGAATGATGGCGTAGAAGGTACTTTGGAATTGAAACCTACAAAAAATATGGAGTTTGATTCTGAACAAGAAGCATATGATTTCTACAACAAATATGGTGGAATTATGGGGTTTAGTATTCGAAGAGAAAGTAGTGGCAATAATAAAAAGGCTGGTGAACTCACTTCAAGACTGTTTACTTGTGCTAAAGAAGGGTTTCAAGCTGTAAATAAGCGAAATGGTATGATTAGAAGACCAAGAGCAGAGACGAGGACTGGATGTGGTGCTCGTATGGGTGTTAGGTTGGATAGGCATAGGGGAAAGTTTTATGTTTATACTTTTGTTGAACAAATTAATCATCCCCTAGTAAAGAAAGAATATGCCCATATGGTACCATCCCAATGGAAAATGACAGCCTTACAAGCCACTAAGGTAGAATTGGCTGAAGAATCCGGGTTTCCACTTAGGTTGGCTTATGAGTTAATAAGCAAACAAGCAGGTGGAAGAGTCTTTGGGATATATTAAGCAGGATCAAAAAAATTATCTTCGAATTGTGAGGCAAAAGAAAATGCCATATGGAGAAGTTAAAGTCCTGCTACAATACTTTTCCAAACAAATATTGGAAAACCCATCATTCTTCTATGAACTACACTTGGACAAAGAGGAGCAAATAACAAACATGTTTTGGGCAAATGCTAAAATGATAATTGATTATAGCCATTTTGGAGATGATGTAAGTTTTGATACAACTTATAAAGTCAAACAATTGGATCGACCATTTGTAGTGTTTGTTGGCTTTAATCATCACAAGGAGATCATTGTATTTGGAGCAGCTTTAATGTATGATGAGACCGCCACTTCATTTAGTTGGTTATTTAAAACATTTTTGCAGGCAATGTCTAGCAAGGCTCCAAGAACTATTTTTACCGATCAAGATCCTGTGATGGCTAAGGCTATTTTAGAAGTGATGCCTCAGACTTATCATAGACTTTGTTTATGACATCTGATGCAGAATGCTTGTAAAAATGTGAATACTTTATTCAGAGGTTAGGAAGGAGTTCACAATGCTTTGACAAATTTTTTTTACCACATTGAGGAGGAAAGTGAGTTTGTAGCTGCTTGGTATTCTATGCTTAATGAGTATGATGCACATGAGAATGACTGGTTGGCCACCACATTTAAGATTAGAAAGAAATGGGCATATGCATATGTGAGATCGGCATGGTTTATAGGAATACGAAGCACACAAATCAGTGAAAGTTTTAATGCAAGACTAAAAAATTATTTGAAGTCAGATCTCAATATTGTTCAATTTTTCACAAACTTTGAGAGGGTTCTTACCGATACTGGGTACAAGAAGTGGGAAGCGGAGTGTGACCTACAATTCAAAATTGCACATGTCAAATATGATATCAAAATGTTGAAATAAGCTAGAGAAGTTTACACGAAAGCGATATTTAAATTGTTTCAAGATCAATTTGAAGAATCTATTGAATTGTCAATAACAAACTATGTTGTTGATGGGGATGACTTTGTATACGCAGTTGAACTAGATGATACGTCTAAGAAGCGTAAGGTGAAAAGGGAAGGTATATCTACAGTTTTTTGCAACTGTAGACTATTTGAGATGAAAGGTATTTTGTGCAGTCATGCTATTAAAGTCCTTAGAGAAACTATGCTTATAAGGAAATTCCTGAACAATATATAGTGAACATGTAGAGTAAATAAGCAAAAGTTGAGAGTGTGGTAGACATGCGTGGGCGTGACATTCAAGTGGAGCCTAAATTCTAGCAAGCTTTTAGATATAGGTCCTTGTGTTCTATATTCACTAGATTATCAACAAGGGCATCTGAAAATATAAAGGCATACCAACTGGTGATTGAGCAAGCAAATAAATTGGCAAAAATGGTTGAAGACCTATTACATCTAGAAGTGAAATATGATGTACCTGAGAAAATGCATACCAACTGTAATAGCCAAATGGCCAGTTGCTTGGAGAATGTTGATATCATTCCAAAACGGCTTAAGAAGAAAGAAAAGTCTCATCGAGGAAGAAGAAGAATTAGGAGTGCTTTGGAAAAAGCCTTACCAAGAAAAAAGAAGTCTGATCAAGTACTTAAACTCATTTAATTCTTTATCATGCCTATGTGCTTAATATATATAATTAAAGTTTAATCGTTGACATGTTTTAGGTTACAATTCCACAACATACTGGTGGTATCAATGTCTTTAGTCCTTATCCACTGCCACCTTCTCATTCATCACAAGTGAAGTACTTTTGAATGTTTTTTAATCTTCATGGCAAGGCTTGATTAGTTGACAAATATAAACTTGAAATTGTTATGTGATATACAGGTCCCGGTTCACATGTTTGGCAATAATACCTATATGCCAATTCCATATCATCCTGTTCAGGTTTGTTATCTATTTGCAATTTGCACTGTATGTTTGATATCTGTCATATATATATTTTTATCTCATTATGGTTATTGAATGTAGTTACAACCACATAATACGCATATGTCGAACGCAATGCCTTGGCTGCCTTGTGAAGAATCTCACCCGTCAAGTTCCCAACCTTTTCTTCATCAAAATATCACTGGGAATAGTCATGCTTAAGTAGATGGCTATTGTTTTGGGTTTTTTGGTCATCACCGGATTTTTTTGGGTAGATTCCAGATGTGTGGTTATTGTTTTTGGATAGGTTCCAAATGTGCAACTATTGTTTTTTGGGTAGGATTCCCAGATGTGCAGCTACTGTTTTTGGGTTTTTTTGGTCATCATTGGATTTCCTGATATGCAACTATTGTTTTTTGGGTTAGTTTAGTGAACCAAGAAATCCAAATGTATTAGGGACTCACCAGAGAATGCATGAGTTGTAAAGCTAGAGGGTTTTTGTAAACCATAACTTGTTATGTAAATGTCTCCCTCAGTTGATTATGTAAATGTCTACCTAACGTTCATCTTTTATTTCTTGAAATGAATATATATCACATGTGTATTTCCTTAGAGCTATGTCTATTCAGATAAGAATCTCATTGATTCATTTTCAAATAATGTACTCCAACACAGTCAGTTACATCCAGGAAAAAAAAAAAAAGGGAACAAAGTACTTCATGGCATTAAGGTTCTAGGCAAAAAGAACGTCATCACTAAAAAAGAATAAATTTACAAGCAAAAAATCAAATTTTCCTTCAATTTTTTTTTTTGGTAAAGTAACTTTCATTCAAAGAACTAAAATATACACAAAGTCCACAATATACACAAATCCCTCCTCCAAAGACCCAAACAAAAGGCATAAGCCCCAACCCAAACAAACCCTAACACAACAAGCCAGAAAAAAAAAAAAATCCCCAACTGGAATCCATACACAACGGCTGCTGGAACCCCATGGAAATCAGTCATCCATCCCCAAGGTTGCCAAAATTGCCCCAGTTTGCACAGAATCTGAGTCATCCTGATAAACTCCACACTTCCAGTTGTAGCATTTCCAGATCGAAGCTCAGCTACCGAGGAGAACAGTCTCATCGGAATAGTTCTCGTGGAAAGTGGCGGTATGAAGACCCTAACCGAAGTTCTGCACACCTTCCCTTGCAAAATTGAAACTTTACCAGAGGAAACTGGAAGATCAGATATATTTACACATGGATCCAAGTCGGAAATACAAGCTATCTAGAAGGGACATAGGAGACAGGTCGAAGAAAAAAAAGGAGGAGGGACTGGGGCTGCCACTAACCCAAGCCACAGTTAGGATCAGCAGTAGCAAAAGTGAGAAAGAACTGAAGAACCAAGCTTGAAAATTGAAGAAAACTCTCACACACCGAAGAGAAACTCTCTCACAGAAAGAAAAAATCTCTCACCAAAAAGGGAGAGAACTTGGGCTTATTATGGTACTTTTCGGAGGAAGGAGATGTAAAAGGCAAACATAATTGCCTTGGTTTACGTGAAATAATTTGAAAGCTTCTTGGCCATTCTTGGCCACAGGATCAATTTGAAAGGCTGGGATCAATTGACCCTTAGGCTCTGTTGGCAACAGCTCAGGAAAGGATCTGCTTCCCGAGACAAGGAAGAGCACCCCAGAAAATGGGGGAGAACCTGCCACATGTCACCCTATGAGTGGTCCAAGATGGGGAAATCTCCAAATGTGAAATTACCTAAATGCCCTTGACATTCAAAAATTCATAGAAACTTTGTTTTAGCTCCGAATTCCAATCCGTTCACGCCTACGCATTCGTATCGACGAGTGCTACGTGAATAAATTAATTATTACATGTCACGACACGAGAGTCAACGCTTTTGTTGTTAGGGGTATTTTTGTAATTTAACTAATTAAAACATATAACTTAAAACGGGTTGTTAGTTGTTACATATGGGGAGCACCCAACTACTATAAACACATGCAAAATCCCTCCTCTCATCATTGTGTATTCATTCTTAACAAAAATATCTTAGGCCACGTCTCGAAACCGAAGCTGGCGATGTCCAAGTTTTTCATGGTGCCCCAGAACCAAGGATAAAAATATTGTAGGAAAAAAACTGCCAGAGTGAGGCACATGAGTCCCCCAACCCAGCCTAAGGCCACCGCAAAGGAAGACTTGGAATAACTGGAGCTACTATGGATGCCGTACGCACAGTGCAACCATGACCCTACCACAATATATTCAACCCAAAAACATTTAGATAGATAAAAGAAAATATATTTGTATATCTTAAACATTGAGAAATATATCTTAATAATGCATTGAAATGTACAAGTTCTTATTCACTACACAATGTACTTTTGTTTCTAGACGCAACATTGAAGTGACTTTGTTTCATGTAAGTTGCTAATGTACTATTAGCTTTAGACATTCCTTTTGTCGTTTCAGAATGTGTATGCAGTGACAGAGTAGAATATCGGGTATTATGAAGAATGAAGAGTCATATTGTTGAAAACTGTTTTGGACTACGCAAGAAAACGGTCTACCAACGGCACCCGGCCGGAAGATTTATTGTATTATATTATATTATATGCTTTAATATTGCTTTTTCAGCTATATTAGTTTATTTTAGATATGGTGATGCTGAAATTGTAGTCCAAATCGATGTTATTTTAGGGTTGCTCTTGACTATTTCATTTTTAGGTAAAAAAAAATAGTTATCAAACGGCGTGTTAGAGTGTCATTTTTTGTCTAGATCATTAACCATGCAGCAACAAGTCAGCTAGCTAGCTTAACTAGCTTGACTTCTAGGTTGCAGATTAGCTTCTGTGATCCCCGTCAGTTGATTAATTTTCAAGTACCCCCGGAGCCAAACTTAATTAAACTTTGATTCATATTGTTCATAGAGAAACATCTCATCAATGATAAATAGTAAGCATTGCGTAATAGCTTAAGTCACGAGAGAGAAGAAAAAAATAACCAGGTAAACAGTTCAAGACGCCGTCTAGAAATTTGCAACAAGATTTTAAAGCAGTCCTACATTTAATTTATATGTTAGCAAAAAAACTGTATGTGTTAGAATCAAGAACGATCTGTCGGATCGAAGATATTGCACCCAACAGTCCTAGCGCAGAAAATGTTAAGGCAATGATTGTGTTTCCCCAGAAAAGTAAGCTGTATTTGGAGGGTTTGAACACAACATTGTAGAACACCGTTGGCAAAACAAAGTCCAGAGGAATGCATCCAAATGCTCCAATCAAAGCGTTGATGTCGCCAAAGAATGGAAACATAGCTGCAACAGTTGTGGCTATGACCACGGACAGAGATCGATAAACCATCCTTGGCACTACATTGCGAACAGAGAATTGATCAACCTTTGCGTTCACAAACTTGCGTTCAAGTACTTCATTTGTTACTTGTAAATTAACCTGCAGAATATTGCGAACAGAGAATTGATCAACCTTTGCGTTCACAAACTTGCGTTCAAGTACTTCATTTGTTACTAGTAAATTAACTTGCAGAACCAATAAAGTTTTGTGTCATCCACTGAATGTATTCGTTATGATTCATTTCTTGGTGTTGTGAAGCGGATCAGAAGACTTACCACACTAACAGCTGATACTTGCAAGAAGGTGAAAACATTGGTCATCAAGAGAACCCAAGTTGGCAACAAAGGCTTTCCGTCAACTAAAAAATTGAGCAGAACTGTTCCTTCGGCATGATTTCCGAACGCCCAATAACCCGAGATACCAACACTGAAAAATGTCGAAATTACAACAGCATAGCATACGCATAGTCCTTTGAACATTTTTCCTTTAACTGGAGGAGCTATTGTTGCCTGCAAACATATAACTTACCCCATTAAGTGATAATTTACTGATTCTGCTGAACAATGTTTGACCTCTATCTTTTATCACTGCATAAGATCAAATGCAAAGATTAGGAAAACCTGTATTTCAGGAATAATGCCATTTCCATACGAGGTAGCGATGATTGAAATAGCGTTGAAGGGTCCAAAAACACGATTCTGTCCACTTCCATTTAAAGAGTAGTCCTTCCTAGGAGCATTCGCTGAATTTCCTATGAGCATGGAAGTTAATTAATTAAACTAGTCACAAAATACACATTCATAATAATGTAAAGAAATTTGTTTCGTGATATCTTACCAACGTATACGGAACCAGCTGTGGCACAGATGCTGTATGCAAGACAAAGGATTAGAGAGATAAGGTTGATATGCCTCAAGGAGTGGAAGGATGGAATTTGTGCCAACACCAGCATCAGGACACCAAAAATAATAACAAATTGGTAGAGTTGCATGGCTTCTGGTCTTGAATTAGAAAGCAAATATATATACTTGCAGAAGAAGAATTATATGTGGGAAAAACAAAGGAAAAAATAAAATTCAGTAAACATCCCCAATAATCAGCAAACAAACTTGATAATTCTTTTAAGTTTTATAATTCAGCGTTATAGTAAAAGATCACAAAACAAAAGTTAAAAAAGAATGCGGGTTAGGGGACATGTCGACGGAATATTAGACTGACGATCACCTTAAGGCTCTGCCCTCCCACAAGAATGCAAGCTACAACTGCACCATAGCACAAGCCAAATTGAATTGGACCAACAAGGTATCTTCCCCACCCTGGTCCTGTAAAATTAGACCATGCATGCTCATATCATATTTCTTTTTTTCCAATGTCAATAATAATTTTGCCTCAAATCACGGGAAAATCTAAATTTAAGAGGAATCTCAAGGGGAAGAGGGCAGCTATACACAGTACAGTACTCACCCAAAATATCTTTGGCCATGTCACGGAATCGGAGCTGGCGCATGCCAAACTGTTCATGGTGCTCTAAAACCAAGGACAGAAGGTTGTAGGAGTAGAACGTTACAAGAGCTGAAATGGTGAGGCATAAAGCCCCAGCAAACCAACCCATCAAGGAAAGTGCATAGGGAAGACTTAAAGTTGCAGGAGCTACAATTGTAGTTGTCAGGTGATATCCACAATGCAACCATGATCCTACATACATATCATCATCATGAGTTAAAACTATTCGATTTAACAACAGACTAAAACTCACTCATCTTGATTCTTGACACACACATTGAATTTCATTTTTTACTAAATGATATTCTAAACTACTCAATCTAGGAGAAGATGATTCAAACTTGGTTGCATGGCCTAACAGAAGTCTGTGATGTACGAATAAGTGATCCATGTGATGCGGCTTTCACATGGAAAGATATGCCTATTGACCTAGAGTTACACCTCTTATAAGGGCTACAACCATTCAACAAGGGTCTTATTCAATGGTACTGTGAAACCCCACCCCAAAAGTTTATGTAATTTCACATTTTTCCTTAAAGATTTATTGAAATTACGAATTGGTCCCTTATCCTTACCCAATCCTGTTTACTTTTTGGATTCTCCTCCTCTCTCTGCCTGCCATGTGGCAACCCCTAAACTCATCTCCCCATTCTCTCTCCTCTCCTCCCCAAACTCTCTCTCAGCTCACTCATTCTCTCTCTCACAACTCTCTCTCCCTTTCTCACACAGACTCTCCTTCTCTCCCCGACCTACACTTACGCACCCATTCACACACCCACACCATTAACGACCTCACCACCACCACCACCAACCTCACGTGGACTCTCTCTCACTCTCCTTAGTCTCTGTGAAACTCGGCGAGATCGAGAACCCAGACTCTGGCGAGTCCAGTAGGTTTCGAGCAAAGATTCGGCCCCCTCCAGCCATTTCACAATGAATCTTAGGTACAAACCTCTCCCTTTCACCTCTACCTTTGTTTTCATAGGTTGATTGTAGCCTAGGTTTACATGTTGATGTCGACCGGAGCTCGAAAGGCTTCGACCTTCGTTCACAACAAGAAATAGGTTGGTCGACCCGCACCCTTTAGCCTAAGACCTAAAGGCTTCGACCCACTGAGCAACCTAAACCCAAATCCTTTGGGGCTGGGCTTACAAGAGAAAGGCACGTGAAACCCCCAACCTAAAACCCTTGAAACCATGCCCTTCAGGCCGCACCAACCCGGGCCTCTAGCCCATTAGAACCCAACCCACTAAACCATTGGGTCAAGCTATTAAGCCTAGGCCCATTAAACCCAAAACCCTTTCGGGCCGTGCATAGCTTGGGCCTTCAGCCCAAGCCAGGATCCCAGGCCCAGGCCCAAACCAGGTCCAAACCTTAAGCCCAGCCGCGCGTGAGTACCTGCAGGTGCCGACGTGTGAAGTACACGCGCCATCGTCTACAGCGATGCTGGTGACTTTTCCGGTGACCCATGACGGTGTGTGAGGGTGCATGGGGGTACCCGAGGTCCCTTTCTAAGTTTTTCAACGTCTTGAATCTATTTATGACGTCTGTTTTATGAAATTCAATCGTTTAAGTATAGTTTTATTAATTGGACCCTTTATGTGCTT